GTAATAATGAACTCGTCAAAGCAAACCGAAATACGAATCTTCACATAAAATATATATATATGTCTCTGTATTTTATATATGTATTAATTTACTTTTTTACTGTAAATTTTGGAAATAATTAATATTTGTTCGTAATGCAAAAGCTTCTAAATTCTTATACATATAAACTTATTTTAGTATTATTCCAATTTCTAATTGATATTAATTATATTACAAGAGAGAATATTTTATCGTTAGAGAAATATAATTTCACTAGTAAATACGATTAATATTTTTGTAAATAGTACTTGTCGATAACACATTTTTCATTTTATATTTTTATTATAACTGTGGAATTTTATCGTGATAGATAAAGGATAAAAAAAAAATGCAAAAAAGAAACTTAAAGATTGGTTCAAGGATTGAATGTGTAGTATTATATATATATATGTGTGTAAGCGCGTTGTGTATATATATATATAATTATAATACATTAGCATTATTGTCAATATGGTATGATAAACGACTATGATAAAGTCGGCCATTTAAATTCTCGCAATAAGTCTAATGGAAACGTCAAAGATTATTTCATTCGGGCAACTCAGCAATTTGCTTCATCATCGTGTTATACTCCGCAAAAGTTTGAGATTGGTATTGATTCGTGCGCGTAGTAGAAACCCACCAACAAAGATATCATCCTTCCTTTTCTCTCTTTCACTTTATATGTATACTTTCGTATGTGAGACATTACAAATTTTTCGAATTATTTTCATGCATAAATCCATTCGTTTTTGTAAGAATAACTGTAAGTGTCCTATTTAGAATTTTTCTTTTTAAATTATATTAACAAATTTTAACGATCATTTTGATAATTAATTCATTATTCATCGATCAATAGTAAATTCGTGTTTACACATGCAAATACTGTTATGTAATTATTAAAGTATATAATTTTTTTTAATAAGATCTCAAAATTTTAATGATAATTTTAATATATTACTAACCGATCATAATTATGTTCGTGTCTGTACATGTAAGCAATTTATTTAATTATTACAGTATAAAATTGTACAAATCGTTATTGTAAATTACTGCAGTTGATAACGTTTACTTCAATTTTAGTATAACCAATTTTTCCGAATTTTTATTATTGTAATCCAATTATTAATATGACCATTACGAAACGCATTAATTCAACTGTATTTAATAGGATATAATTTTGTAGAAAATAACTGGTCAACAATGCGTAAATCGTAATTTCGAATATATTGTATTTATTGTAATATCATCGAATTACTTTGACGTTCATTTAAATATGCTTTAAATCGTTGATTATTAGTGATTCACAAGTTAATATATTATATTTATTTTATGTCAAATTATTCCATTTTTATTATATAATATATCTATTGAAATAGATTGAGAAATTGGTAATACTTAATTTGAGAGGTTTCTTTTTTTTTTTGTTTTTCATTTTTAATTAACGTCAGTTATGTGTTACTAGTATTTTTATTTAGTACATATCACTCAAAAGATTTTAATACCACTAACGATTCTCGATATTCCCGTAGAAGAGTTATAGCTGAAGATTTTGTATATAAATAGTGTTTACACATATATTCATATCTATATTGCCATATACGTTATGTTTCTATTTGGTTTCGATGAATTTTAACGACAAAAAAGCGAATGGTAGAAAAAAGGAAGAGAAAGAGAAAGAGAGAGATAGAGAGAGAAAATACAAATAAAACGATAGATGCAACCAATACGTACGGGGGTTTCGACCCTTTTCGATTCGTTCACCAAAATGCTCTACAAAATATCGGATACATCCGTTACAGGAAATATTTGTTCTCTCGGACGTTTCACTGTTTATTTTCTTTTTTTTTTTTTATTACGAATTTATATATCGGCGCTTGGGTTACGTTTTGCTTGTTAAATGAATGCACGTACGTTTAGTTCTTTTTTTTTTCTTTTTTTCTTTTTTTTTTTTTGTGTTTCTTTCACGCGAGTATTTTTATATTTATTTTTTGGTTTTTTAAAACTAAAGTTTGCGCATACACACACATATATATACATGAGTACATATATTAGAGATTTGAAAATCTTTTAACTTTCTTTGACTATATTTGAAAAATAAAATATTCCTTGTGTCGTATATATAAATATTAATTTTAACGAGATTTTTTTGTAATCCTTCATCGGTAAAGCGAGTATGTTTGGGCCAGTATCATATTTGAATAACTATTTCATTTAAATCACTTATGCGTATGAATAATTAAGTTCTTATTATTAGAAACATGCATGAAATCCTTTTAAAAGAATATCCTTGGTTTTGAATTCTTTGTTTTTTCTTTTTTCATTGTTCTATTCTTTTATGTTTGAAAAGATGCGTACATACATATACATTCATAGATCTATACACATATACACATATACGCATAGAAAACATACCTATAGGGTACATCCGTGTATGCAACGTGTCGCATGTCAGCGAACCAGCCATTCAGGTATTACTGGGCATACGTGGTCCGTCCCACTTATGAACTGAACTCTTTTTATCGCTATGTAGCGTGACTCATGGCTATCGACGTCGGATACGATCGCCGTTTGTAATTCTGTAAGAACACGAAATTACTCGATCGTCGTCGGCGCACTTATTTGTTTCTAAACATGTCGAAAGGACTAATTTACATTTTTAATGTTCTACGATGCCCCCACGTAACTTTTTTTTACTTCTGAACTCCAATAATTTTTGTAAGTTAGACAAATATTTGACCACTCTCTAATAAAGTTATATTTAAAAAGAGATTTAGACAAAAATTATATTATATATTTTCAAGAGAACAAAAAATATCATTTATTTAATCTTTAATTATGAAATTTTACGGCGTCAATCTCTATGTGTAATAATATGATGTCTTATTTTATTATTTATAAACATTTTCCAAGAGATTTTGATCATTTTGAAAATAATTTTGATTTATTATTAATTGTACGTTAAGTTTACAGAGAACGATTGAAACAATCGATTCTATTGAAAATGTGATTAATAACTTTTATCAAATTTCTATCGATACAAATTGTTGTGTTTTTAGAATGTGACATCAGATAAAGATTACGAGTTAATAATATGTAGCAAAAAGAATAATAAAAGTATACAGTAATAAGAACTCTGGAATTGTTTCTAAATGAATATATATTATAAATTTTGCTGTGGCCAAATATTTTTTTATGACATAGTATATGGTTATACATGTATTTACGTACGCATAATATAACAGCAAGATGGAAGATTGTATTAGTAGATGAATAAATGTCTAATAGCAGTGGAATAATATTAAATGTAGGACGAGAGACACGTTTTCTCTTTCCTCGAAGATAAAAGGCATCCCACGGAGTTTTTAATTAATATTTACGATCGGGGATGTAAAAAAGTTGACGTTTTGGTACCTCTCTTAAATCTAAAAATGAGTTCCTCTTAACGATTTCATTTTTTGCTCTCCACTAATTTAATTAACTTTTTCTCTTTTATTATTTTATTTATTTCTTTTTTTTTTTTTTGTTTTTACTTTTAAACGAATTTACTTTCATTTTATTATACCCATCGAATAATGGTCAATTATAATTATCAAGATGATCTATAATCGATGATGACATTCTTCGTGTTCTACATATGAATATGTAAATAATATATATATATGTAGTACACACACGTGTCTATGTGTGTGCGCGAGAGCGAGAAAAAGATATAATGAGACTATTCACTTCGTATTTGTCCCCATGTGTATTATCCATAATGGCTAACATAACTTTTTACTCTGACTACTGTGGATAGAAAGGCGAGTAATTTGCGGTCAACGTACGACAAATATTGAAACTACACGCACAACGAGAGAAAAAGAAAAATTACGTTTATTGTATTAAACGCAAAACTCGTATAAGTGTAACATGATAAAAAAAAAAAAAAAATACAATTCTATATATATTTAACTATAAGTATAAACTTAAAAGAAGAACAATGTATGTAAATGTCCCCATGATTTCATAAAAAAGTCGCATTATTAAATAATATCTTTCGCGAATAGATTTCGTCCTTTGTGGAAAAATAAGAAATAAGAAAGAAAAAAAAGAAAACGAAGAAATCATAATATATCGAATTTCCGTTTGTATTTCGTTCGATCGCAATATACGTCGAGACATTTTTTTTTTATTTCTTTCTAACGCCCCCATCCCCTATTCTGTCATTCACATTTTATTGATAATAAACGTGGCTCTTTCGAAATAACGGCAGGAAAAATACGTAGAATCTTCTTCAAGTCTGACCAAACAATTCTGATGATAGCAACTAGACGATTTCCTTTCCACCCCCATCTCGAAAAAAGGAGAGAAAGAGAGAGAGAGATATAAAAGATGGTCTCATCGTGGCTGTAGTTGTTGTTGTCATGAGCATTGAAACGATGGTATCGCATGTACCGTGGTAGACGATCTTTCTAAGCTACTAATCGAAAGTACAAAAGCCTTAATTCACGGTCAATCGTTGGTTGGGCTCAAGAAGGGAGCGATTTTTCATTACAGCCAATGGATCCGGCCGTACATTTTCTCCTTCTCTCTTTTTCTTTCTCTTTTTACTCATTCCCTTTTACTAGATTCTCTTTCTCTCTCACTCTTTCTCTTGAAACGTACACACGTGCGTCGAAATATTTTCGATTCTTCGTTATACCCTCTTGGACATCGTTTGCAATCTAATACATATGTGTACCTATATATATATATATATATATATATATATATATATATGTATGCTTATATACACATATACAAATATATGTATAATAGATCATGCTCGCGGCAAAAGCATGTTGAAAATAACGTCGTTCAACCGCGCCCACTACGCGAATATACGACCACTTCGATGAATATGTCCTATAATATATATGTATATAATATACACACAAGAAGAATCCATATATGTATTATATAACTGTAGGTATATAAATTTGTCTGTTTGCCTGTTTCAGGATGCAGGGACTGACGTTCCCGCGTCGGAAAGGGAGATTCACCCCGTCTTCGTCATCCTCGTCGTTACTAGTTCTACTCCTACTGCCACTAGCCGAACTACCCCTAGCGAACGGTGAGTCACTTTCGTTTCTTCTATTTACAATCTACATCCTCGTCGATATATACATACACAATACACGTATATAAAAGTGAAGCGAAGGAACACCCTATAGAAAAATAATCCCGTTTCTATGTACAATATATATATATATGTATATCTATGTATGTATATAGTATCAATCTGTGAGTAATACACATACACACAATCGCAGAAGAACTATCTTTCTTCCATTCTTACACTCTCTCTCTCTCTCTCTCTCTCTCTCTCTCTCTCTCTCTCTCTCTCTCTCTCTCTTTTTCTCTTTTTATTTATCTTTCTCTTTCTCGGGCGTGGTACATCGAACCAAACGAAATTTTCAACGAAACGTATGCAAATACATGCATGATTCGATTATCCGTGCAAGAATCTCGGTTTGATTGGCTCGAGTGGGTGGCAATAAATTTCAGAACGTTGCTTCGTTCGAGCATGCGCTTCCGAGCTTCGTTTCATCCATTTTTCTTTCTCTCTCTCTCTCTCTCTCTCTCTCTCTCCCTCCCTCCCTCTTTTCCTCCCCCCTCTGTCCCTATTTCTCTCTCTCTCTCTCTCTCTCTCTCTCTCTTTCTTGCAGCTAAGAGAATTGTTTTCGTCGAATTCGTTCGCTCGGAAATTTCGTTCGATGCACCCACCAACCCCATCGTTGCTTGGTGCGCCCGTTGTCGAGTTTTCCCCTCGATCACCAAGAAAAGTGGAAGGTCGAATGGGTGTGTTATCCCAGCTTCGAGCTCACTGATCTCAATGCGATTCATTGTAGAAAAATAGTCTGTAAGTTGATTTACTACACAACTATGCGCTTTATTTTCAAATCGTATCAATAATAATAATAATAATAATGATAATAATAATAATAATAATAATTTAATTACCATACTTGTTCGTATTATTCTTTGCATGTACGAACCTAATACTCGTAAACAATTCTATTGTTAATTTATGTACACGTTTAATCTTATTTGTTCAACGAATCGTCGAGAGAGATTAATCATTTTAACGAGTCTTTCGTTACTCAACGAGGATAAAAATTAATTAATGCTGAAAAATTGATCATTTAAATTAAATGAACATTTAAGAAAAATCGTTATTAGATCGTCTCGTTACCGAAATATCAGGGGGGGTCGTTTATATATATATATATATATATATTTACGTTCGTATTTACAAAACGTCGAATAAAACAAAAATCGAGTAGACAAAATGATTGAGATTTATTTTCAATATCATCTATAAATGTCTGAGCAGACGATTCGTTCATATTTAATAACGTGTCGATCTGCAACGAACTTTACCCACGTTAAAATCGTTATATTTGCTGCAAGTTCCACGCACAGTTTTGCCGAGGGCTTTAAACACACTTTCTATATACATATACCAAAATGTACACATATATTTCTATATATATATATACACATACACACAGTGGAACCTCGATTTGCGAATATAATTCGTTCAAAAAAAATGTGCTCGTAATCCAAAAAGCAATTCGTATATTAAAACTCGAATTTCGTCGTAAGAATAAAAAAAAAAAAAATACATTATGGAAAATTGGATAATACGTTGAACGATTATTATTTATATAAAATATTTGTATAGATGATATATATATATATATATATATATATATACTGCTCGTATTGCAATATATCGTTCGTTCATTAAATCAAAATTTGTTTTTGTCATTTTGCGGAAAATTCGTAAACCAAGTTACTCGCAATCCAAGGTTTCACTGTATATACATATGTATGTATATAGATATATACGTGGTTGTTCTCTTTCCGTGTGTGAAAAAGAAAGAAAGAAAGAAAGGAGAGAGAGAGAGATAAAAAGAAAACGTATACACATATACATATACGTATAGAAGTTTTCTACCAGCAATGGCAATACTTCGCATCCATTTCTCCTATATATATATGTTTGCCTACGTGTACAGGATATTGCTGACATTAGTGATTCTAGAAGCGTGCTGAGAGGCCAGCATCCCTCGTTCTATTGGTTTGGATGTCCTTTGGTCCTCTTTCTCCCTTTGGTCCCTTGGCAATACACGCGGCCAGTACTCCCAGTCCGGTCACTCGCGTTTCTTTTTTTCATTTCTCTTCGTGCCTAAAGTATTTTCGCGAAGAATCGCTATAGTAAGGAGAAATAGGAAGAAGGGTGGGCGGTGGAGGATGATGGTTTGGATGTGGAAATAAAAGGAAAGAAGAAGAGGAAGAAGAAGAAGAAGAAGAAGTAAGAAAAAGGTTTTGCAACCCTCGATTCCTTCGGGCAAACATTGCTCTGGGCGTAAAAATATTTCGTTTATACGAGTCATACCGTAACTATCGTAGTAGCCTCGAGGATAGGATGGTAGGGATCTTTTATCACATCGAATGAAATTTTCATTCCGTTAGCCCTCCATTTACACCAACGATGAGAAGAGAGAGATAACAATCATTCGCATTTTTTTCTAACAGAAATCGTATCGAGTTACTGAAAATTCTTGAACAAATATTTGTTTACCCATTTATTCAGATTTATCAAATTAAGAGTGTAATAATTAATTTTAGTCTTTTGATAATTAAATTAATCGCATTAAAATTGATATCTTGTTTTCGTCAAAGTAATTCGGTAAATGCCTAAAAAATGTACCAATGTCATAGAAAATAATTGAATACCATTACGAAATATAACACAAATCTATTATAAATATATATATATTAAATTTGTTTTTAAAAAGGTATCAATTTAATTGCTACGCTTAATATTTCTAGCTATATATGTTATTCATACGAGTACATATTTTAAGATAGTGTTGACAAGTCACAAGACCTCGTTATTTTCTCACATCACTTAGAAAGAGAAACGCATATGGAGAGGATCGTTCGTTCGAAGTATAGTCTGGCATACGTTACTTAGCAGCACGCTTCCATGAACGTTACGTATATTACCTATATATATATATATATAGAAAGAAAGAAAGAAAAAGAAAGAAAAAGAAAGAAAGATAATCTCTTACTCGGTAGTAGTAAAGCAACAAGTCTCAAGAGCTGGTTGCTCGTAGCCGGTGGTCGACGTGTCATTATTTCGTTAGACGAAATATGCCATAAATTCTACGCAACGATCCGTCCGGTTCTATTGATCGTAGTAACGAGTAACGACGAGTTCAATCACAACCCACTGGTACCTATAACCACGACTACTACTACTACTACTACGACTACTATTATTACCACTAGACATTCTTGTTTGCTTTTTTTTTTATCCTTTCTTTCTTCCTTCCTTTCTTTCTTTCTTTCTACAATACCTTCTTCCCCTTTTGAAAGAGTTCTCACAATGCACCAGTCTTCTCCGCCGCAGTCTCTGCGACGACGAAGCTCTTCAGCAGATCATAAAGAAACCGGACGATCCTGCTGAGCTTTCTTCTTCTTCTTCATCTTCTTCTTCTTCATCTACACGAACGTCTCTAACCGCGTATTTATATACTTACACTTATATGTATATGTATGTATGTATGTATTTATGTATACATACCCTAATACACGATCATCGTCCTGCTGCTGGTCGTGCGAATGAATGTTACCCACGCGCGCACATACCATTCCTGTGGAATTTTATATACCAAGATCAAAATTTCTAGACGGCTCGCTCCGGTAGACGAAAGGATTCTCACGCAATTCACACCCTTCTTCCTTGGGATTCCTCATATCAATGAGCTTCTGGGATTTCTTTAAGTATTTTTTATTATTTATTTTTATTTTGATGTCACAGGTATATGTATGTATGTATATATAATATAGTAGCTTAGTTCCAGGTGTATTTGTATTCCTGTTATGAATTCAAAAGAAAATTCTAGGATTGTTCGACTAATGTAATAAGAAATATATATTTTTATTTTTTTTTAGATAAAAAACAGTAATCATTAGGTCATAACATTTTGCGAAACATCATCTTACCGTTACACGCGTGCGCCTCTTCAAATAATTTCAAATTGTTATACAGTTTAGAAAAGTTTAGAAAATTGTTCGTTTAAAAATTCTGTTGTTTTCATAAAATCTCATAAATAACATAATTAAATATTTATTTAATTGTTCAAATATTTAGATTCCTTAACCGTTGTATAATTTCATTTAATTAATTTAATATAATTTCTTTCATAAATCAATATACAAATAAAAGAAAAATTATTCATCAACGTTAGAATATTCTTAAGAAAGAGATATCAACCAAATATAAATACTTGTTACATACTTGTGTCGAGTGGTGGTGGTGGTGGTGGTGGTGGTTTAGGGATACCTTTATATCGTTTCGCAACGTTGCGTGCAATTCGAGCTTATATCAACGGGGCTTGTTGCTTCTTGCATTCTGCTTGAGAAAATGCATCTTCGCGAAAACGACTCGCCATCTGGACGTCGTACGTCGTTTGGTTTTATTTCTTTTTCTTTTTCCTTCTCTCTTTCTCTCTCTTTGAGCCCATTAACGCATTCCTGCCACCAGTCAGCAGTACTCTTCTTTCTCTCTCTCTCTCTCTCTCTCTCTCTCTCTCTCACTCCCCCTTTCTTCACCCTGTTGTTTCATCCTTCTCGTCTTACCGTCCCTCATCCATTCCCGTTTAGTAGTCGATTCCTCTTTCGAGCACGAGACCATCCACCATCGTCTTTCCACGTACGCTTTTTTTTCTCTTACTGTTTTTTTCCTCCTTTATTTTTCTTTTTCTTTTTTTTTTTTTTTTTCTATTTCTTTACATCTCCGCACGTGCGTCACCCACACGAACATGTATAATACAGGGTGAACCATATGATATGATGGGCAGTCGCGGATTAAGCGTTTGCGTAGGAAAATGGGGGAACCCTGAAATATGGGGCCTTAGGTGGGGGGATCTTATAATTGTTCTCTTTTCATTAGGATTCGTTGAAAATTTTGTTTAATTTAATAACTTATAGGTAACGCGCGGCGTTATGGTACCCAAATGTTTTTCATTATATTTTCTTTTTTTGTCTGTTAAT